GAATATGAAAATCTAACCTTAATTTAGAAATTACCGGCAATACAAAATCCGGCCACCTAATTGTTAACCTTAGCCCATTTAAGGGATCTTCGGTCAGATTTTAGAAGTTTGAGTGACTAAAAAAAAGGTCCAACTGAAAAAATTAGCCCATATGTATTACGACATAACAAAGATACTTGAATGAAAACCAAATTCAGAAAAGACAATTGCGGTAAACCTACACAAAAATAATATCAATTGATAGATGAATAATAAATGGTATAATTGATTACGAAAAGTCGTATATTTTAATTTTCTATTGGCAAGTATAGACTTACAGATTGTAGACAATGACGCATTTTTAATACGCGTTTTATTTAAACTAAGGTAGGTAAGTTCGTGTAGGGCCGAAACAAAAAGTTTGTCTGGATATTAATGACATTTCATATGGCATTAAATATTTGTAAATGAATACCATCTAAATAAACAACAACGCCAGCATCCATTAAAGTTCAATCCAAATAGAATTAAACAAATTCTCCAAATCTAAAGATTATTAATTACTGCAGAATTTGATAACATTAAATACTTTTTAGGCTAACAAACGTTTCAGCGTCAGTTAATTTCTTACCAGATAAAGTTAAGTAAGACTGAATAAAATAAGTCACTTTCAATAACTCGAAAAGTTAGTTATGAGGATAAAATAATAATAAGGTTGATCTCACTTTTTTTTTTTTAAAAAAAAAAAAAAACCTAAAACCCACTAAAATTATTAGAAAAGTCTTGTAATATTGGGTCTTTGCCTTGAAATCGCCCTCCGGCATTTTGATCGGGCTAATTCGGTACAAAAACAAAATCGAGCATCGGTTTTAGCTTTATTGATTCGATAGTTTATCGTCATTCTATAAACCACTGAATCAATAGAGGCGGAAGGAGATTTACATATTAGCATGAACCGATGCTTAGGTTTGTTTTTGCCCAATCAGAAATGTCCGAGAGTGATTTCATATATATCGCCAATTCTTCCATCTATTCAAAAAATTAATAAAATTGAGAAATTGAGCTTTATAAAAATAATGTTGATTATTTGAAGACTTTAAATAAAATATGGTATTGCTAAATATTACAATGTTAAATCACTTTTTTCTTATTTTTTTTTTTTTACCTTTGGGCATCTATTTCAAACTAAATTTGTCAAAATCGATGGTTTTTAATTGATATAAGTTTTTAAATTAGTGCATAATTTCATTACATCTTGTTCACATAGTCGCTCCTGAAAAATCCGATACTTTTAAAACTTGAAAACTAGGTTTTACTGGCACAAGTGGGTGTTTAACTGTACATTATCAAGATTGAGATGTCAAAAATTTTATAAACAGAATAGATATTAACATAATATTGTAGAAAACAAATCAATTTATAAAATCATTACTTTTATGAAATCAGATATCTTTTCTAAGTCATCTTTTTTCTAATCACATTATAAAAAAAATAATTACAGACTTATAACATGTTTCCAAGAAAAAATAGATCAAGAAGTACGTAATTGATTGACACTTTTAATAATCTGATAATATTTATTATTTATCGTTTAATGTTAGTATGATACGTGCTTACTCAAACCTATTTCATGCTAAAATTTCATTTACAATAGTTTCAGTTATACAAATATGTTATTTAATTATTGTTGTGACATCTTTTTTATCTTAATTACCGTGCTTATTGTTAAAGTCTTTTCTAGATCTACACGTTTGTAATTCCCTGATTAATGTGCAGCACTAGAGTTAATACTTCAATCCGGATATAAATCCATCCGGATTGAAATATTGGCATAAAATTATATTACAGCTATTTTCATAATTCCTGGAACACCTGATAAAAATTGGCCGAATGATTTTTCAGCCGATTCGATTAAGTTTGTGATTTCGGCATAATAGATTTAATAAAACATATGGGCGGATTTACGGAATTGGACCTTTTTTAAGGCCCGAAATGTATATGTAACTAACTATCAGCTGATCATTTTGTACCCCCAAAAAAAATAAATAAAAATTACAAAATTAATACGAATGAAAATTTTATATATAAAAATACGCGTCAAACCAATTGTCCGTCCCCGAAACCAATTGTAACCTTTTGGTAATTGCGTAAGTAAGGGTAATTATTGTAGCTACTATAATTTTAGTTTGCTTAATACTTTGTACCTTCATTAATTTAGATTTTTGTTATAGTGACGATTCAAGCACGATCCAGGAACGACAAGCGACGATTCAAGTAAATTTTAATTTTCAAAATATTATTTATTCGTACTACATAGTAATACTAAAATAACTTAAGGCTTGGACAGTTAGGAAAAAGCTGCCGTATTGTGTGTACTGGCTTTACCAAATCTTGATCATTGTTGCTGTCGTGGAGTTGCTGTTGAAAGAGTCTGTTATATCAAGAGTTATAAGGTAGGTTTAACTTTTGACAACTATAATTTTAAATACAGTGAAACTTCTTTAAATGATCTCACGGAGACCACAAAAACGCATTTATAAGGTGAAGTATATATTTGTGCCAGAATGAGAATACATTTAAAAGAGGTTGCAATATATTATATGATTGCATTCGATAAATTTCTTTGACTTATATTTTTATTATTCATTCACTTCATTAGATCCCAGGTTTCGCCTTTAACTAGGAGATTTAGGATTTCGCCAGGGTTTTGTTCTTCGTGAGGATTTCGCAGGGTCTCATCTTTCGTCAGGGAGATTTGGAATTTCACAAGGGTTTTATCTTTCGTCAGGAGATTTAGGATTTCACCAAGGTATTACCTTTCATCACCACAAAAAAGGGTCATTTTAATTTTACTAACAGCAGCTATTTATCTATTAGCATTTGATTACCAGGTGATAACACCTTTGACCTCTGACGTAAAATCGGTACCTTTGTTTTATTATAGCCAGTGCTAACATAAAAGGTAAAATTAATAGTGCTAGAACTTATACTATTACAAAATCTTATAAGAAAGATACAAAGTTCCATTAGAGAAAATATTATCCGTAACAGTAATACATTTTTATTTATAGTGTATAAGTCTATATATATTATTATTAAAACAGTTTTATTTTTATATCAACTTAGTACATAAAAAATGAACATTACTTCGAGCTCTACTTTACAACAATGTTTTATGT